ATTTGCCAGCCCTGGCTGTCCCCGTGGCTGTCCCCCTGGCTGTCCCCATGGCTGTCCCCCTGGCTGTCCCCGTGGCTGTCAACCTGGTTGTCCCCCTGGCTCTCCCTGGGTGTCCCCCTGGCTGTCCCCGTGGCTGTCCCCCTGGCTGTCCCTGGGTGTCCCCCTGGCTGTCCCCATGGCTGTCCCTTGGTGTCCCTGGGTGTCCCCCTGGCTGTCCCCCTGGCTGTCCCCATGGCTGTCCCCATGGCTGCTGGCCACATAGCGAGAAGTGCCAGCTTCTCTCTGTGACGAGGTTGCCCGGCAACAAGAGGAGCCCTTCTAAATCCATGTCCTGACTTACAGGTTCGGGGAACATGCTCATGAAGTGTGCGTGTTGCCTACAAACTGGCACACATGTGCCTCGTGTGTGTTTGCCCACATGTGTCCATATGGGTGTGTGCTGTGGGAGGGGCATGCTGCATGCGTACACTGTGCATGTTGCTTCTGTGTGAGCTGTGTGTGCGTACACCTCTGTTCACCTGCAGAGTGAGCCTGCACGTGGGTTTGGTTGGAGCAGGGCCTCCCAGGGTCCTCCATGCAGCCCCTGCTGAGTGGGCGCTCAGCACCCTGGTCTCAGGACTGAGGCACGCCCTGAGGGCTGGGACAGAACGGGAGGCGGGTGCAAGGAGCCAGAGCTGTTTATGGGATAGCCAGCGGGCAGCAGGAGGGGCGCCAGGGTCAGGGCAGGCTCTGTGGGCTGGGGTGGGGGGCAGTGTTCCTGCCCTGGAGGCTTGTGGCTGAGGGGACCTGTGCAAGCGCTGTGAGGACCCCAGGTGGCTCCCTCAGGCCAGGCGGGTGCCCACAGCCCACTGCCCTCCTGCCGGGGTTTCCCAGCTCTGCACAGTCCCGGGCCGGCTCCAGCGAGCCCCCTGGAAGGGCATCGTTTTGGCACAGCCCAGTGGGGCCGGGTCCCGGACCTTCACCTTGACGAAGGTGACGAAGCCGCCGTAGAACAGGCTGAGGAGGAAGAGGGCCACGAAGGTGGGCCACAGGGGGCCGGCATCTTCCTGGTCAGCGAAGGCGTCACAGTCCACATCTATGCTCAGGGGGACCCAGAGGGGCGGGGCCAGACCTGGGGAGGAAGTGGGCCAGGTGAGGTCGGTCCTGCAGCCTCCCCTCCCCCGCCCCCGGTGGCAGTTGCATGCAAGGTAACAGCTCACACACTCCAGTGCCCACCCTGCCACCCACCGGACAGGCACTGAAACCTGCCTTCCCGTGGCCAGGCCCGTGTCCAGCACAGCAGAACCAGGCGGTCACAGCACCGATGGGGCAGGGGAACCGAATGAAACACGAGCACATTATTCAACACACGTGTGACCAGAGAGCAAGGGTGGCGCCGACAGTGAGTAGATGCAGATGCACAGGCTCGATCCTGGCAGCCTGGCCAAGAAGCCTCCCTCAGAAGTGGCCCCTGTGCTCAGCCGTATGGCTCAGTGGCTGACATCAACCTATGAACCAGGAGGTCAGGTTCGATTCTCAGTTAGGGCACAGGCCTGTGTGGCAGGCTCCATCCCAATGTGGTGCGTGCAGGAGGCAGCAGATCGTGATTCTCATCATTGATGTTTCTATCACTCTCTCCCTCCCCCTTCCTTTCTGAAATCAATCTATATATATAAAAGCATAAGCAACCGGCCAACCAGCCAGTCACTATGACAC